GTTTCGTCGACATTAACGTTTCATCGACATTCGTTAAGCGAATGCCGATAATCCTGCTTTCCCAGGGAATTAAGTTGAGCGAAATCAGGAGTGGCGTAAAGCGCAGCTCATGTAAAAAAATAATAAAACTTGGTACATGCTCAATATCCAATTGGTATTTTTCTTACGCAGATAAGAAGTCACTTTTTGTAGTTATTTGTAGAAAACAACAATATACCCGGTGTTTTTTTTTTCTGTTTTTATTTTTATTTTTGCAGATTTGTTTTAAAAAAGCCGTGAAAGGCTAGCGGTTTTGGTAAGGCGCCCGCGCACTTTTTCCGTCTCTTATCGAGCCCCGGCCTTGTACCTGCTCCACGAGTGATAACTTTAGTGCACTACTACGCTTCTCACGCGCTGAAAGTCTTTCTGAAAATGAATGATTTAGGGGTTTTGGAGGACGCTCAGCAAGTTTCTAATTGGAACCAGATGTCTTCTTTCACTAATTGAAAAGTTAAGTAGTGAATCTCAATTAATTAGCCGATTTATCGCAAAGATTAGCCACCCGCATAATGTCCCCCTGGGCGTATAAAGGCCTGTTCACATATACAGCGGAGCACTAAGTTAGCGCTACGTGAGCGCTCGAAGGAGGGCTCCTGTGGCGCTTCCTAGCGCGTGACTTCATTCTAATATAGCGCGTGATTAGCGCTTTAGTAGCGCCCACGGTGGTAGCGCCTTGTTAGCGCTTCAGTAACGCTTTTGGTGCTGCAGATTAGCGCGTGCACTGCGGTTCCGGTTCCTGTGGTGGGGTGTGCATCAGCAGCACAATGGCGGACATGTGGGATGCTGAAATAGAAATGCGACAAGTGCTCTTACATACGCGACTAGTACATATGTGTGTGGACGGCTTAACGCACAGAAGAGTCTTCTGGGTGCGCGAAAGCTTTGGCCACCGAGATGTTGACGGTACCCGGCGAACCTTGTTCCCAGGCCGAGGGGCCGAGACAACGAGCTCTTTCGAAGGCGATTATTTTTAACTGCGTGTCTTTGAAACCAGGGTCACGCATATCGAATAGAAAGCGATGAGGTTGTACCCAATAAATTAGTCACTCAGAGTCCACGACTCTGGATCGCCTGCCCGATCCTTTGCTGGAGAGCGGCTCTTTTACTTCCTCTTCTTTCAATGCCAAAGAAAAAACAACAACAAAGGAATTGCCATGCACGCGCTATTCCGCAACAGCAAGCATGGCACAACGAGCGTGAGAGCGCTAACAAAGCGCTTCTGAAGCGCTTACAGAGCGCTTCTGTAGCGTTAAAGGGATACTGAACCAAGGAATTTAGTGTCCATAATAAGTGGCGCACGTTCTTTTCACGAGCCAGCAGCCGCCGGTGTGCGCGAGCACACGCAACAAAAATGACGTCAAAGGCCTCCATTCGCGGTTAAGATGACAGTGAAATGTATGGCTTTCGGACTAAAGGAGAATAAAGACAAGTTTTTCATCTACATAGTGGTGTCTGGTGTAAAAGGTAAGTGATTAATTGGTTTAAAAAGGACGTAGCTTTCACTTGTGGAGATGAAAAGCCTGTCTTTATTCTCCTTTGGCCACAAGCCCATGCATTTCACTGTCCACTTAAGCGCGAATGGGGGTCTTTGACGTCATTTTTGTTGCGTGTGCTCGCACACACCGGCGGCTGCTGGCTCGTGGAAAGAACGTGCGCCACTTGTTATGGACACTAAGTTCTTTGGTTCAGTATCCCTTTAACAGAGCGCGCTGAAGCGCTAACCGAGCGCTACATCACGCGCTAGGAAGCGCCACATGAGCGCTCCTTCGAGCGCTCACGTGGCGCTAACTTAGCGCTCCGTTGCATGTGTGAACCGGCCCTCAGTCATTCGCACAAACCACATAAGTGTAGCTTTTATGGATTTTTTTAAGAACAAATCTGCAAGAACAAAAAGAAACACCCTGTATATTCAAGGCTGCCTAATTTGATTCTGAGATATCTGGCCCGATATGGGAGGCAGATATACCCCTATTTGGCAGACCCAGATTAGGATATATAAAAAAGTGGCCATATCTGTCTGCCTTATATAAACTGATGTGGTTGATATGGCCAGATATGCCCAATTTTTTTATATAACCATATTTGTTTTTTATATAAGTCCAGATATGTCATTTTCGTAAGGGTAGGGTCCCGCGCTTTACACTATGGGACGTTTTCCATGCTCATTTTCCGCGCATTGCATTATGGGAAACATCCTATGATGCAACGAGCGGGTCTCACTCGTGTCCCGCGCGTTGCATTATGTGAGATTTCCCATAACGACGTAACTAGGGTCCCGCGCGTTGCATTATGAAAAACGTCCCATGATGTAACGCGCGGGTCACGAGCAACCCGCGCGTTGGGTCATGGGACGTTTCCCATACTTCCTCCTCCTCCCTCCTCCTGGAGGGTGGAGAAGGGAAGGGGCGCGACATCGCTGAAGCCACCAAAACTGAATAGTGGAGACGGACAAGGTGTCGTCCATGGCACCGCGAGACGCGACCAACCGCCTGTTGTAATCATGCGCGATTAGCATCTACGTTTTGACCAGGGTGTCGAACCAAACTTGAACCGAAAACAAGAGCAAAATTGTAAGTTTTTATTGAACCGGAACAAAACTTTAACCGAAATCAAGCACTTGCTATTGGAACGGAACCGTAATCTCATGTGGCAGTTACTGGTCCACTGGAAACGGTTCGGCGCAGCGAATTGTGAGCCGCGCATATTTGCGGGTGGCGGCGTGATGTCAATTCAATATTCGCGACGGTGGCGTCAGCGGCCCAGTTTTCACTAAACAAACAGCAGTGACGACATGGAGGCACCTCAATAATATTTAAACGAAGTATATTCCGCGTTTACCTGCAGCATCAACCGGCGTGGGCATGGAGGCGTACACTTCTATATTTGGTTTCAGCTTACGATGGACCGCAAAGGACACTACGAGCCACCGGAGCGATCCATAGCTCAAAAGTTGTCACGTGTACTTCCGGTTGGGCGGAGCGACGCGGGAGCACCAAGTCACAAGACTGGCTACAAACTCTGGATTGGCTCGTGGAGCTCGTAGCGTCCATCGTGGTACATATTAAAGTAGAAGGAAGTAAGATATCTGGTCAATTCCGAGAGACTAAAGTGCTAATATTGGTGTCGTGTCTGTATTTGCTTTTCTTGCTGCCAAGCAATATTCCTCAAGGAAGAGAAAGCGAACGCAAACATCAAAATAAAAATAAAAGGTTTACGGCTGTTGCTCCGCGGTGGCGAAATCTGGAGGGTGCCAAGAGCTACGTGAAGCCGCGTACCTCTTGGCGCCTCTTGGCAAGTACACACTTGGGATACGAATCTCGAATTAAAATAGCGCAAAAAAAATGGACGAGTTAAAGCAAGTGGACAAACAAAGCCCTTGGATAGCCCGCTCTGTCTGTCCAGTTCGTCGACCTTCGTTACTTTAGTGCTGTTTTTATTCGAAAAACAAAAATTGGTGTGTGTACGTTTATACAACCTGAAGTTAGGACGGGCGACTATTCCTAACAATCGCACGCCGGTACGATGCTCATCCAGATCGAAACGGGCAGGAGTGGGGATTGAACCCACGATCCCTGGGTTCTACAGCACGAGCTTTCGCTCCACATGCTCCGAGCTGGTGTGCGCTAGCCCACTCAGCCGCCGATGCCCTTTTTATTCGAGTCGAACCGCAAAGCCCGTTTGCAATGGCAGCCACCTGCGCAGCTCGGTTGCTCCTGCGCGCATTGCCGCGTTGCGAGGAGCATAGCGGCCGAAGGGGTTGAGCTTACGCTTCCAGACACGTTTCCTACCTCCTCGCATCTCGTATTCCTAGGGCGGCCGATAAACCAACCGACACCGATCGAGCAGTTGGAAACATTCGGAATACTCAACAAAACGCTGCCTCGGCCATGGTCACTGGACGGGGCAGTCCAGATGTCTCGTGAAAAAAAGGCGGGAAAAGACTGCGCACATTTGCGCACACTCGTCTCATGTATTCGATCATTCTTCGGGACATTTCGTGAAAGCTGTCTCGCGCGATAAAACAAAAAAAAAAAAAAGAAAATAGAACATGACCGATTGTGAGCATAAAGCGACGCGGACATTACCTGCATGATCGGCCAAATCCGCCACGAGGGAGTTTCGCCTGGGACTAGACAATCCGCCTCATTGCGGTGTATACGCACGGACAGAGGTCTTCGCGCTCCGCCAAGCGAATCATTGCGCAACATGCAGCTCGTTCACCGGGCACGAGGATTGCGTTAGCCTTCGTTTGGATTGCTGACCGGTCAACGTGCGCCAATATTTATTTATTTATTTATTCATATTACCCCTAAAGGCCCTCGTGAGAGGGTATTACATAGGGGGGTTACATACATATGAACGAGCGTATTGACCATTTCCGCTGCACGCGGCCCTCGAATTATTTATTAGGCGTCAGAACGTTGCATTCAAATACGCCGTTAATGTCGTACGTTTTATAATCGTTCGTTGTTTGAAAAAAACAAAACAGCTAGCTAACATAAAATTCACACTCAAAGCGGCAAATATACCCATATAACGTGGCAAACCCACGACATCTAATTCCCGAAACTTAACCACCGTGACCAGCGCCTTCGAGAACACTAAGCCGCAGACTAAATGCCACACGCTCGGAAGTACCCTGTCCCGCGACGCACTCGGAAAACAGATCACCGGCCCTCCTTTAACCCGCCAATGAGAAGATAGGCCGCCGTCACTTTTAATAGCCGAACGGTTTCAGTGGCAAACGGGTGGGCGCCATCTTGCCACTGAGACTGTAACCATCACTAGAGCACCTCTCATCGAATAAAATTAATAGAAATAAAATTGATAGAAGGAATGCCGATGATAGGTGTTTCGAGTGCATCGCGACTCAGCATCCCCTCGGGGGTCTCCAAGAAGGAACAGAGTCTTCCGCGCTTCTGCGGCTCCGCGCTCCAGGAGGCGATGGCTGGCACCGGCGCTCAGTGGCGGCGCTTGGTGCGGCCGGACCTCCCGTAGGAGTGGTTCCTGAGCAGAATGTCCCTGGCCCTGGCTAGCAGCGGCCTCCCGAACGTGGCCCTGAAGTCGTCCATGCAGATGTCCCACAGCGCCATGCCCCCGGTGAAGAGCAGCAGGTGGGCCTTGCTCTGCAGGGACACGTCGTCCTCGAAGCCGATCCACTGGTCGCCGTTCACGATGAAGGGGCACTGGGACACGCGGTCGAACTGACGCGACCAGCTCAGGTCGTGCGCCAGCATCTGCTCGATCTCGTAGTAGCTCACGACGCCCGGCTGCTTGGTAAAGACACCTGGATGGCCGGGGCCCGCCGCGGGGTCGCCCACCTGCAGCACGTTTGTGCGCAGACAAGTGGGGGGTGCTGTGACGAAGCTCGACATTTTTTTATTTAAGGTCTGTTACGTGAGTGTTGTGGTACACCACAGCCGTTTCGTACGCTTCAAGAAGTGCCTCAGCGAACTACACTGCCCCATCTCAGTACACATTAACGATAAGGCACGGGGCGGCGCCCGGGATCTGGGCCGAGTCCGTATACATGTGAGCCAGGTCTGGCCCTCGCAGGTCACTTTAACGGCGCACACCTTGTTGTTCTCGGCCGCCCTGAGCGTGAACGAGGCCCCGGCCAAGGTGAGGCTGAAGACAAGCTTGTCCATCTGGGCGACCTCGAGGGACAAGTCCCCCAGCACGTACGAGAGCCCCGCCTGGCGCAGTTTCTTGGCCTGGCTCTTGGCGCGCAGCGGGCTAAAGAACGACGTCACCGGGAAAGAGGCTGGGTCCATGGTGCGGTGCGTGTCCACGAACAGTACGTCGGCCACCTGCGCTGCCGGCAACGGACGCCGTCATGTCCTCTGCGTACACGGGAATAGAGGGCATACAAAGGGCGCCAAGAACGCGTTTCCGACTGTTGTGTTTAGCTTCCTGTCCCGGCCAAGCAACGAAAGCATTGAGACAGTTGGGCGCCCTTGATATATATTCGGCGATATACTATATATTCCGCGATATACTATATACATATACTATACCAACTAATTTACGTCCTTATTTCACCGTTAGCTCGCCAGCATTCACCTCTTAGCAGCTAAAGAACACATTATTACGAGAGTTTAGCTGTCGAACTCTTTTCTCTCTTTTGTGACATATACCCAACTAGGAGATTATCATCACCATGTGCATTCATGCAATGTCATCCAAATATTCAAAGATTGCATTTATGTTCCACACGTTTATAGTCAAACTTCTGTGGAGTGTGTTGCTGATGAGGAGTGGTATCGGTCAAAAAAACCATGGCAAGTTAATTCCTATTATGAAAACATTTGCTGAGATACTGCCACATCCACCCACATTGTTTCCGGCGTGATTGTCGGTAACGCCATCTGCCACCATCAGGTATGTTGTTTCATTTCTTTATGGATATTCGTATAAAGACCAGACTGATTGTACAGATACATAATTAGAATGCTTGCACAACAGCACTGTTCCAGTGATGTGTTGCAAGCGCTATGGTATTGCACAACATCAATAGTGCACAACAGCAGTGCTGAGCACTATGGTATTGCGAGTTGGAAATATTTTAAGTCATTAAATTGCCCTTCATCTGAACAAGTGCAGGTTGATGCCGCAAAACCTCCTAAGCTCGAACACTCAGGGTGGATGTTTAAATAGTCGGACTTCGCTAAGAGCCTGAATTAGACTGGTGTTCTTTGTCTAATTGTTATAATAACAATTAGACAATAACACCTTAGACAAGAACACCGATTGGTATAATATCTGCAGTAGAATGCTCCAAAAGTGTACTTAGAACCTATCACGTCACTATTTTATTTACTTGCACACCTGTAGATTTCTCAAGATATTTCTTTCATATAAATGAGCACAATCTGGGCGCTATGCCTGGTTGATGTCCGCAGTGACTATTGTTTTGGGCATGCAAGCATATATTTATTTTTGTAAATAGATATAGGCGGTGGCAGGTTAAGAGTTCAGGGTAAGCTCCCCCCAGCGCTTTCCACTTTAGCAGAGCGAGCACTGGAGAGGAGGTCGCCTCTTTTCCAGCATTTGTTCTGCTAAAGTGGAAAGAGGTGGCAGCAGCTTCCCCTGACCTCTTAACCTGTCACTGACTAAGGTATAAGATTTGAACATCGATCATTATTGTTTTTGCTTCAGCTCTACATGACATTTAAAATACAAGATCTATACCAGGGGCGAATCAGAGTGGCGATGCGGGCGAGTTGGTTCATGATACAACTGGAAACGGCGCACAAATAATAAAACCGAAGAACGTGTAGAAGCAGTGTTGGAACTAACGCGGTACAAGTAATATCATTACTGGTAACGCGTTAGTTCTTTGCCTGACGTACTAACGTACTTGTTAGCATCCCAATTGACTAACGAGTAAAGTAATGTCGTTATTGTTTTACGATATCTCCAATCAAATTACATTGCCAGTTACTTGTAAGTTTTGATTAAAAATGGCCGCATGATTGTTTGAAACCAAAATCATTTTTATTCTGTATACACTACATAAAAGTGGAAAAGAAACCCCAACAGAGTCTATGTATAAGCGGAGCCTTATCAAACTCCTTCGGAAGACACTTTGAACGTTCCCAGGACCGAGCCCAAAGGGAACGAGATTATCCCTGCGCGGAACCCCTAAGCGTCCCTGGTGCACTCTTTGTATAGAGGCTGCTAAGATCACCGTCGCTGTACCTTGAGCAGCCGTCTCGCTGGAAAGAGACATCCGTTCAGAAGGCAACGGTCTGCCGCCGCTCGAAGGATCTTTCCTCAGCGTCCCTAGCTACTCCAGCTGATCACATCCTTCTCTTCAAAACAAAGAAACTCTCGTTCTGTCAACAACAGAAAAGATAAACTCTAAGTTTGGAAGCGTTGACGCTCCCACGCCCTGAACCAAAACGCCAGCGGTGGCCGGGTGCTGTTGTGTCGTTAATTGGAAATGCGACGTTGGTTTGTGAAGGAAGAAAATAACGTTCATTTTAGCGAATAACTTTGATTACATTTCAGATAATAACTTTGATTCCTGTGGAACTGGATGAGTTTTCGTTTAAGGCGACGAACATGGTGTCGAGTGCAGTGCTCATTATTGCGTTGTTCTAGGTCTACATCCTTCGCTGTCAAAAAGTGGAAAATTGTATGCCACGTTGACTTATTTCATTCATCAGTTTCAAATCATGCTGCCGTCTCTCGATAAAATCACAAGGCTGTCACGAATGCTGTGGTGACGAAACAAAGAATGACTGATGAAAATGAAACATTTAATAGGGCGAACGTGTGCCCAAAACCAAGAAGTAAACAGAGGATAACAACAGAGCGTCGCGGGCGTCGAAGTCGGCGTAACAGCAGGATCGAACGCTGGGGCGAGACTGACCCGCCCACTCGGGGCACCTTTTGTACACGCGTGGGTTTCTGGAACATTAGGCGTAGAATATTCGGCGCGTAGAGCATTCGTAACTCGATCAGCAGGGAAGGATCTTGAACTTACGAGAATATCGAGTTGAAAGATTAAATAAAAGAGGAGTCCGCTCACGGTACTCGAACCCGGAGCCTCCGCTTGATAGCCAAGCGCGGTAACCATTCGGCCACGCGGTCGTTCGGCAATGCGCGCGGTAATACGTATAAATAATTTGCTTTAAAATTAAAATTGATTTTTGTTAAAGAGCATCGTGGCTGTATCATTATTTGTCACACATTGACCTTTCACAACGACTGATGTGACCTTTCGTATGCACTTGTAGGCACCGCTTGAAGGGACTCTTGCTGCGTTTTAGCATTTGGATTGTTTCATCCATTTAGACCCAAATATTTTCTAGTGAAGATGTTTAAATAACTTCCAGAAGTTTGAACTAACAATGACTTCAGGGGAATATTTATTTTGAATTATTACAGTCCAGGAGGTGAAGGCTACTCTTTTGGGCACTGTGTGCAAGGACTGATAAACTTCCAGTGGAGTTATAACTCACCAGAAAGTATCAGAATTGCAGCTATTCTGCAAAAGAGTGGAATAAACTCTTTATAAGTAATCGATTTTAACGCCACGCAAGGCTTTTCGGTTAAACTTCAGCAAAGTTGCTACGACACTCAATAGGTAAAGCATATAACCCTACTTATAGGAGTTCACGCAACCCTCATAGAAAAGTTGAAGGTAACTCTCCTCAAGACTAAAATTAACTATTGATTTGAGAGAGTCACTTTAGCACTTCGCAAGGGACACTAAGTTACTTTAACCCAGTGTTCCCATGAATATCACTTTCAGCGTGCGTACAACACCACCTGCAGGAGTATAGGCTAGTCCATTGAAGGGGTTAAGGTTACTCTTCCTCTCAAAGAGTAATTCCTACTCCAGAAAAAAGTAACCCTCATTCCGAACGGGTGACTTCAAGTTACTCTTTTTCAAAGTGTAACGCTGACCTACCAAAAGGTGTGGATTCTCGGACGTGCCAGTTACACTTCAAAAAGAGTTACATTGAGACCTTTTTTTTAGAGTGTGGCTTCCCAAGGCTTCCGTGGACTTCCAAGCTGGAGAGCGACCTGCAGAAGAACAAGCGCCTGCCCCACCCTCCACCGCTGCTGTTAAACCGCCAGGTTCGCGGCCGCGGCGACAGCAGGACACTCCCATGACGTCATAAAGCAAAAATCAAGAAACTATTTTTTTTTTTTTTTTTTTTTATGCGGTAAACACATTGTTAGGAGACGCCAGCTTTCCGACACCCGACGACGACGGCACCAAATTTCACGTATGCATGGAAACGACAGGCACTCTGTAGCTCCATGATCCCTCTGAAATAATCAATACAACGGCACACGAACGGCCTTTAAAACAGGGACTCAAACCGTGACCGTAACCCACACCAAAAACCGTTTGGGAGAGAATTTTGTTTTTAACCAATATTTTTTTGTAAAATAGTGGGTTACTGGATGAGGTGGTTAATGGGCATAATGAAAGAAAGCGCAAAAAGGAAGGGACGAAATGTGTATGTTCCTCCGACTTCGTCCCGTTCTTCTATTTTTTTTTTTTTCATTGTGTCGATGTTTTTATTCGACGTGAAGCGCAACATGAACCGATCAAAATTAATCGGTAACAGCATATTAAATTGTGTTGGCACATTTCTTTAACAAGTGGATTGATTTCTTGTTTTTATTCAGGTAGCGGTGTACATTTATATTTTTTAAAGATTTTTTGATATGCTCTGCGAATCCGTTACGACAAGCAACGCTTCTTTTCAAAGCTCGAGCATCTTTAGTGGAAAATCTTCTAAACACTTACGCAAGCCGTAAGCGGAAACACAGCGACCGCTGATCTGTGACGTCAGAGCCGAAAAGGTGTCATTTCGGAGCAGGTGGACTGAAGGAACGGTAAAGGTGCCAGCGCGCACCATAGAGTTTGCACACGTGTTTCGTATTAAACTGAGTAACACATCGGACTAAAATTGCATAGCGTTTAGGCACCGATGAGGGCGTAATAAATAGTGAGCATTTCAGCTGTGTGCGTAAGAGGGGAGCGTGTTTTCGTACGTCAGTTCGGTACAAAGAGTCACACGTGCTAAAAAAGAATCGCCGAATAAACAGGGACAAGGAAGTAGACAAGACGAAGTGCACTCTCAATTGAAGGTTTATTGAAACAAACACGCACTCTTAATACCACATTTCTGACTATTCGTTTAGAAAATAAAACTACGTATCTGTCAGGTGCACTGATGGGGCACTAACGCACTTGCTTTCTGATATAGAATGGATCGTAAAATTCTCGGGCAGTTTCATCTGCGTACCTCCCGAGAATTGTTGTCTGTGCTAATTCTGGATC